GTAGCGCAATAATTGATCTTCAAGAGCACGTGGATGTAGTAAAAAGGTTGCATACAAGTATACCAAGAAAAGTTTTGAAGCATAACTTGTATAATAGATCAAGAATGTTACGTGCTGTATAGACTATGCAAGTCATTTATTGATTCAATTTAATTATATGAAACAGACAAGAAACTTGCATCATGTAAATGGCTCTTAATTCGAAAAAACTTGCATCACAATATTTCGAAAAAAGAAAATGTATTGTATTAATAATAAATTCTTATATTGATTTATGGGTAACAGAATACAAAGAAAAAAGAACTCAAAAGAATCATTAAATGTATCAAATATTAATTACTGATGTGTAGTCTTATTGGTGACATCAATAAGAATAACAGAAATAAGCTTGATTTTGTTCTGATTTGTAAATTTGCGTTTAGTTTTTGCCAATGGAACTATGTTACAAGAAGTTACGTCAGTAATAGTGTTTTTATTAACGGCATAATTACTGTTGATAATATACCCTAGATGCTTTCCATGGTTGCAAATTTCACCAACGTCACATAGAAAGCAACTCATACTTCTCATTGTAATTTTTGGTGTAGAAAGGTCCCAAAGAACTTGATGCACAGAGAGGGTGCCTCTGAAGGGTTTCAACTGCTCGGGAATCAATTTCTCCCTTTGAATAATTTCTTCCTCGGAAACTTTTTTAATTATAACATTTTCTAATCTTGATTCCATGATTTTGTAAAATTGATCAAAATTTCCAACATCTGAACCAAAATGAACCCATTGATCTGCTAGTCTTGACGGTATGTTGCCCATAATGATGTAGCTTAAAATGACGAGTTGATGAAAAAACCTGCACGAACTTGTCTGTGAGCATAAAACGTCAGCAATGATTATACTAAATGAAATCTATTTCTGCTGGATATTATAATAAAAACAAACGAAAATGTTACGTGTGTGTATTCAAGGTACTTAGATTGAAATACAAATGACTTAATCGATGACAAAATATAAATAATTAGAAAAAAATACTTACAGCTCACAGAAACACACGTGTTAATTCACCGCGACGTTACCGTCAACTGAGGTCCCCTCCCGCGCACCCGGGAGAGTGAACTAAAGTTACGTTTGCTATGTAGTTTTTTAATAATATTTTTTTTTCACATTATTGATATGAATGACGTTTAACTTATAACAATATTTTTACTTAAAGTTTAAGTTAGTTATTGGCAAGTGTTTTAAAAGTTTATTAATGTAAACGAAGGGTAATTTATAAGCCTTTAAATAGGATATGTTATTATATTTTTAATTTGATATTAAATAATTTGGAGCTAAGTAGTTCCCTGAAGATACACAATTGGAATAAGAGTAAAATGACGTTTGATGACCTTTTTGAAGCGTTGATTGACAATAACCAGTTATATATATTTTTTAAACTTGGTAACATATAAAATATTGCCAAATGTAAATAAAAATCATATCAAATGCATTCCAAAAAATCTGTATGCTAAATTGTTAAGTCGGAAGACAAATTTAGAGTCTTTTAAAGAAAAACCCATAGACATTTGAGGTCACCCTACAACGTATCACCTGTGCCTGACCGCGCACTGACTTGTTTGTTGGTCAGTGCCACTGGCGTGGGTGGCAAGGGAGCGGACTGACTCCAAAATATTCAAGCGGGAATATTGAAGTCAGCGCTGACGCGACAGTGCTACACTGACTTCAAATCAATTTACACTAAGTCAGTAGCGGGTTAGCACTGACTTGCCTCAAATTCGGAGTCAGTTACTTACTCTGTGTAAATCCGGCTTTACTCTCTATTTTGTGTTATCGATGAATACTATAGACTTTAGTAGTAGTACGATTGTTGCACTATGTGAATAGATATAAAGAGTTTAATTAAACTCTTGGGTTTATTAGAATAGAGATAAGCTATCGCCATTATTAGACTACGTATAAAATCCGTTTAGTAATGTAATTTTCAATTAGATTACATTTGTTTAACCGTAATAAGTGTACGATAACACTTATAGTACAAACAATTTTGAATTAATTATTTTACGGATAAAGAGAAAATATAAATAAAATAATGTAATAAATATTAACATTAGTACTAAAATTTTGTTAATTTTGTCGGAATAAAAATTCAATCAAGCGAATCGAAAATAACGTCAACAAGTGAGAACTTTCAGAGGAAGTTATAATATTGATATTTATTTATGTATCGTATACTATTGCCTATTCCGGTTTTGCTGAAAATACTATAATAATATTATCTATACAGTATTCTTTCTTCATACAAACGGTCGGAAAGCGTGTCATAACTATTACCTACGCCACTCGAGTTCGCGCGGCACCCGGTGGGCATCCAGTTGCGAATGCGCCGCAGCGACGACCGAACGGTGTGAATTACGTTTTAAGCAGTTAGACGTGCTTAAGATAAAATACATGTTATTTTAAGTGTAATATTTAATAAAAACATATAGATTTGAGACAGAAAAATATTTACGCCTCGACTGAGACGTACGAAAAGCTTTATTATTAAATTTAATAGTATAATAAATACGCAATCGTATAAAAAGTTTAATTATTGAAGAGTTCAAGCAACCAAAAACAGCACAATATTGACTATTGCTCTTTGCCATATTAAATTATGTAGGTATCAACTTAATTCAATCAAATATTCACAATAAAAATCGCACGTATAAGCACGGCTAACTGCTTAAAAAACAATTCATACCTACCGTTCGGTCGTCGCTGCGGCGCATTCGCAACTGGAAGCCCACCGGCAGTGTTACCAACCCTTCCCAAAATTTTACCCTAAGTATTTTTTAAATACCCCTAAAATCCCCTAAATATAGAAATTTATATGTACCTAATGATAAAAAATTTATATGTATACTTATCTTATTACCTCAATTGTTTCGTTGCTCATAAATTAAAACGTTACATATTTAGTTACAGTAAATTATTTTATTGAATAAATACATTTTCCAAATGGAAAATCAAACGAAAATGAGCTGATAGGCTGTTTTGATTGGTGGAAGGCAAAGAACTGTAGTCCCTACAGCCTTAGAAAATAACCTGCCACACAGTGAGTTCATTCTACGCACAAAACTGAAAGATAACACACGCTTTGTTTTTCGATTTAATTGCAAGTTTTGTTAAAATCCCCTAAAAGAACCCCCAAAAAATTCCAGCCCCTAAAAAAGTCCGTTTTAATCCACCTAGCCCCTAAATCTGGGGGCAAAACCCCTAAGTTGGGAACCGTGCCCACCGGGTGCCGCGCGAACTCGATTGGCGTAGGTATGACACGCTTTCCGACCGTTTGTAAAAAGATAGAATACTGTATAGATACCATAGCAATTCCGTAGGCGATTGACCCGCTGGATTGCAGGAAGGAGGGTGTGCGGCTGTGCTGCTTCTCGCTGTTTGCTGTGTTAACAATTGTTACGTGTCGGAATTTATTTAGGAAACAGTTCTATAGTAAACACACAATACTACGATCACTGTACGCTCTAAGCGTACAATATTTTTATAGAGCATTTGCACTTTAATCGCCTTTGTAATCGTTCCTAAATCGCTGTTGAAGCTCAACTGTTATCGCCTTGCAAGTAATCTGCCACTACGTGGAGCCGAGCGCCCTTTTATGTTTAGGTAAATGCTAATCGACACACTAGATGACTGGCTATGAACCAGCTGCAGACGAGTCGCGCATGTAATGTATACGGCAAAAGAACTGCCACCTACCTACTTCCGAGATTTATCAATGAATTACCGCCGGAATTACGGTTCACTCTTACAAACGCTAATATAAAAAATGGGTGCGTGTACTTATGTAGGCGCGTGAGAAGTTATCCTTCTTTGGCATTGTTTAAAATTAGTTTTTAATTGCATGCAAATAATTAATTACAATAAATTAATAAAAAGTCTGGAAAAGGACACAGTCAATAAGGTTCAGTTTTAATGTGAAAAAATAAATAAATAATCAAAATATTCAATTAAAATCGCTACTGAATATAATTTATTAGAACATATGTGATTTGCACTTGTATGAAACTCAAACACGTATTCCGAATATACAAACTAGAAACATGTGGATAAATATTATAAATATGAATACCTATAACTGTTACTTTATTACAAAAAATAAAGATGTGGTTTTTGGTTCTACTACACCAATGGTCAAGAGATGGCGCTGTAGTCTCCTGAATCGCGCTTTGGTTCCGTTGTTCCAGATTGATAAATACTTTTGATAGGCCTTCACAATGCAGTCGTTAGCACCCACTAAATAGAGATTCTATTTCTATTTTCTTGGTAGATTTTCTTAATGTGCGGTAAACACAAAAGTAACAGCATGAAGTTGGTGATGACCAACTTCATGCTGTTAATTTTTTGTGTTACAGTGATGCGCGCGCATCTTAAAATTTCACTCTCATCATTATTTCATAACGCGCCTAAAGAAGTATAACTTCAAAAAGTAAATTAAAAGAATACTTTTTAAACAATTTATAAAAATATATTTCCTAATTACTTATACAATGAACTTATCCAAGCCCAATATATTTTGTCTATTTTAAATGTGCATTCATACCATTTTTTATTTTTTATTAATGTAATAAACTAACTCCGAAATTTAAATATTGTCGTGCAGGCGTATATCATCGCATAAATTCAAACCCTTGTGGTTTTAAGGTGCGATTGATCACAACATTATAATTATATTTCTTTGAAACTGGTAATAATAATAATAATAAAAATAAGATTGAGAATTCCCTAGTACTTACGAATACCTATACGCAGATAGCAAGCATGAGCTGCAAACAAATTGGCAGTAAGTGCAATGCCACTTTCACTCTTACGCCGCACTGCTAAGGCTCATATTCGAGTGGATCGTATCACTTCGGGTTGCGAGTACATCGAGCGACGGCCGCAACGAGCGACGCCACCCGTTCTGGATAGATGTGTTTCCAGAGTATTCGTTACAATATTTTGCTTGCTTGTTGCAGGTTTATTTGCGGGACAATCGCAATGGTTGGACGGCATAGCCAAGAGCTTAGGCTACCAGAGCGTGAACCACTATGCGGTCATCATAGATGCTGGCTCTTCCGGGTCCAGAGTGCTCGCCTACAAGTTTAGAGTGCCTTTCACAGGTCAGTTATAAGAAGTCTGTTCGTACTCCTATGTATACAGCTTTAATTTGGAATCCATTTAATTAAATCATAATATTTAAGGGGACTTAGAACAAAAAAGGAGGAGATTCTATTCTATGTTCGTTTTTATTTCCTGAATCTAATTTGTGATAAATTCCGTTCCAGTATTCGGGCAAGCTAATTTGGATCTGGTTGAGGAATATTTCGAGCAGTCGAAACCTGGCCTGTCTTCCTATGCCGATGATCCAGCAAAGGTAAGTTTATTTAAATAAAAAAAAATACAGCATCTGTTTATAATTTTAAATACAGTACCCACTACAGTAGACCCTCGGTAACCCGGACCCGGTCAGATTAGACTGGATCCCAGTAATCCGATCGACACGCTATCACTGATGATGAACTTTGGGCTAATTTGATTCTCCAGCCACCATAAGCTTATTTTATTTTTATTTTTACATTTAACGGCTAGATGTTAAAGTCTAAAGAAAATTTTACTAGAAAAAAATCCACGCGGTCCAGTCAGCACACAGGATTTGAACCCGCACCCGCACGCTACCCGGGCGGATACACCGACCAATTATGCTACCGCGAGATTAATCGCGGTGTCGAATTTCTTTTGCTGCAAGGCAGCGCTATTTTTCTGTCTTCAAATTATCCTAATTAAAATTAAGAGTTTTTATAATGTATTTTTATTTCGAGATGAACATATGTCTCTATACTGCTTACTTACTCCGCTGTCTCAGCGACTTGATGTGGATTTTGGCCTCCGAGACGAGATTGTGCAGCTCCTCGTGAGTCAATTTTTCCTCGCAGCTTGAATGGATCCTTGACTATTTGGTCTTTCCAGCGGTACTTGGGGCACCCAACTGCCTCGCCCACCAGGCATCCTTGTGTACGCGCGCTTTACGGCCCGACCCTCCTCCTTGCGTTCTATGTGGCTCTGCCAGCGGAGTCTTTGAGCCTTACTCTCCCCAGTAATGATGGGCTGCTCCACCATATTTTCTATCTCGCAATTTTTGCGGATTCTCCAGCTGCCGTCTTCTCTTTTTGTTGTTCCGAAAATTTTCCCCATCCGAGATATTTATAAAAGTGTCCATGTCCTATGAGAATGCTCACAATTTGTTTCAAAGCATGTCTTGGTAGCTTGCAAAACTTACTTGCTAGCCATGGGCCTACCTTAGGTATGGCCTCCCTGGCGTGCCTGCAGTCTGCAAGTCCAGTTTTGTATTCGTTATGTTGTCGCATATTAGCATCGCCGTAGGCACTAGACAAGCAAAGAGGCTGTAACGCTGCGGATATTAAAGTACTTACATCATCATCATCATCAGCCTATTAATGTCCCCACTGCTGGGGCACAGGCCTTCCCTATGGATGGAATAGGGAGTTTTTGGGCCATGACCCACCACGCGGGCCCAGTGCGGATTGGTGGGCGTTAACGACTGCAGATGCAGCCGGGACCAACGGCTTAACGTGCCTTCCGAAGTACGAAGGAGCTTGAGATAGTAAATTTTGGTCACCCATCCAACGACCGACCACTGCTAAAAGTTGCTTAACTTCAACGATCGGAGCCGAACGCGCTAACAACTGTGCCATCGTGCTCCTCCTATGTAACAAGTACCTACATGAGCGCCTTCAAATAATCTCATTTTTTTTCCTACCAGGGCGCTGACACTATAGTACAATTGATAAAGAAAGCAGAGTTCCTAATACCGGCCGAGAAGCGGCGGACAACGCCGTTGATAGTTCGAGCCACAGCGGGCCTGAGGCTGCTGCCCAAGGATAAGGCACACCAGTTACTAGTCGAAGTTTCTAAGGCGATTTCCACGTAAGTACACCTGTTAAATAACTTTGTATCTCTTTCTCTTAAACACCAAAAAACACACCTTCTATCTGAATGTGGGCCTCGTATCCACAAATGTTAGTATTCATCATATTATACGCCCAAGGAAATCAAATCTCTAGAAGACATACTTTAACTATTCGACAATATATTGAAGTCACCATCGAACAAACTACCACGATACCAATAGAGTCTTCACCCAGTTCAAGTCCTCTTGGAAAGAATAATCAGTATACTGAGGACGTGCCTGAAAAAGAATGGTCTAAACCAGAGTTCCCCAAACTTTTTTGTATCGTAGACCCCTTGCCATGTTTTTCCGTGTTGGGTAGACCTCCTACTTACCTGATATTGATTTTTTATCATTGACGTAGACCCCTTGCAGGTTGTCATAGACCCCTAGGGGTCGATATAGACCACTTTGGGAATCACTGGTCTAAACCAAGCAGGTAATATTTTTGTTCTAAGCTAACCAATTGTATGTAATTGTATCATTTTGTAACTGTGACAGAATAACAGTATTTCATCATGCGCAAAGCGAACGCGCCAGCTTCTGACTGTTTGTTAAATATAGCACCATTCGAAGCGGCTTCCTGTACATTGGGCAAGCTCTTTAAAATTGTCATCAGTGCTCGCGGCTGCTTTCACGCTGGTGATTAGTTTCATTTACTGTCCGGCTTTCACAAACGCGTTTTATGACCGCCTTAGAAAAATGTCCGCATTGTCGAATAGTTTTCTTTAACTTGGTGGCGAGTCACAATAGATCTTTTATGTCGCAGCGACTACAGTTCCACTGGGACTGCAGAGCTCTAAAAATATAAAATAAGAATAATAAATCTTAATTTATTATCTTCTCTCATTTTGATTTTCCTCCTATTTAAAAGAAACAGGTTACATGCCATGACTCGTAATAAAAAACATAAACCTGCCTAATCGATGGTTTGCAGGGAATACGCATGATTTATTATATATTTTTATTTAATAGTTTATATATATATTTATAGAAATAAAAAATTGATTCCGACGACGCAGCCTGTAAAGGCTGCGAAACGTCAATAAATAAATAAAGTTTCGTGCATTAACCCGTAAAAAACTAGTTTTATTTAATGAGTGATGTGCGTGAAAACCTAAGAAACAAATATAATAGTTTACACCTCATATTTGCAATAAAAAAAAACATAGTCGTAAAAATAGTATAAAGTGTCTAAAAATGTTAAAAATATCCACTTTGCACGGGCATATTTGTTTCTTAGGTTTTCACGCACATCACTCATTAAATAAAACTAGTTTTTACGGGTTAATGCACGAAACTTTATTTATTTATTGACGTTTCGCAGCCTTTTCAGGTCTGCATCGTCAAAATAATGATTTTTTTTTTACCTGAAAAGGCTGCGAAACGTCAATAAATAAATAAAGTTTCGTGCATTAACCCGTAAAAACTAGTTTTATTTATTTGCACGGGCAGTTTAAACGCGCGCTATTTTGGAATGTTTGGATGTGACGTCACTATACATTAAACCTACAAACAAGATTATTACATTTTGCGTTCCACAATCCGTCCAATGCGGGTGGTAGTTGGATTCTACGGGTAGTCATATTCTAACCATAGCCATGCTGTATATTTTGTTGAATTAGCATCTCCTCGCCCGCTAATCCATGCCATTGACAAACTTCAATAATCCTACTGATTTCCGCTATGTTCCTATATTGTTATTAGTGGGATTGCTACAACGTACCTTGTTTTTTGTTGTTAGTCTCCGATATTTCGGTGCAAGTAACTGAAGTAATTGCGGGTTGGAAGAATATTATTGGCAGACATATCGGTTGTCCCGTCGACGAAGTTGTACGCAATGAAAGATAAAAGGTAGGAAGAATGTTATACCGATTATTGTCAGACTAATAGGGTATTTGGCAAGTTTTAGAAAACGATCTCATGTTATTGACTAATGTTTATGGAGTTCATAAAAACATGATTTTTTTAAATTCTTTTGTGTAATTCAGTAAAATAAAACTAAATTAAAAATTAATTTTTTTATGTTTCCGCTAAAACGTTTCTCTGGACATTATGGCGTCTCACTAGTGCGTGACGTCACACGACTGTCATTAAAACGTCAGACGATACAATGTAAAGTCACTTTGGCCGGAAGTTTACTAGTGTCTGACGTCATTTTAGTCTTGGCCAAACCCAGGCGTTTTCGGTCACGGGACCATGGAGCAAAAAAATCTATTCTATTTAATGATTTTATAGAATTGTTATTAATTATTTGATCTTTCAGAATAGTAAAATCGCTGTTAATATTCATACTAAATACAGATGCCAACAATTAGTACATTGTTTTTCATACTGTCAAATAGCCTATTAGTCTACCCTCAATAAAAGACTTCGTCGGAGGGTAGACCGATAGGTCTGCCAATAAAGTTCTTCCTACCCGCAATTAATTCAGTTACTCCGTGATCATGGCGCTTGCAACAGTGCGCAAAATATCGGAGACTCACAACAAAAAACATGGTACATGGTATCAATCCCGCTAATAACTACAATGTTAGTGACCATGAAATTTAAACAAAATGTATTAAATTGTGCTATTTATATTGAAAATTCTATTTCTTTTTGTAGGTTAGGCTATGATGTTGGTCCCAACGGTGTGGAAATCATGGACGGCTCTGATGAAGGCATATTCATTTGGTACACGTTGAATCTCTTACACAGTGAGTTATATTTCACTTTATCATTTAATACATAGTTTACGCCCGCGACTTCGTCCGTGTTAAAATTGTTTTTTTTGTGAACTCCGCAGGAACCTTAATTTTTCCTTGCGTATCAAAATTCATCCGAATCCGTTTACTATTTTATTTATGATCGAGTAACAAACATGGAGCTCGATGGCGCAAGTGCTTAGTGCGTTCGGCTGCGATCGTTGAAGTTAAGCATCTTTCGCAGTGGTCGGTCGTTGGATGGGTGCCCAAAAATTTACCATCCCGAGCTCCTCCGTGTTTCGAAAGGCACGTTAAGCCGTTGTTCCCGGCTGCTTCTGCGGTCGTTAGCAACCGCCAATCCGCACTGGGCCCGCGTGGTGGGTTACGGCCTAATCTCCCTATTCCATCCATAGGGTAGGTCTGTGCTCCAGCAGAGTGGACATTAATAGGTTGATGATGATGTTGTTACTCAGCCTTATGATTATGTAATGAAAGTATAACTGGAGTCTTTATCTAGACAGGTTTTTTAGCCTCTACGACACGGGGCGAGTTTGCAAGCTTCAAGCCAGCGAGTTCGCTAGTAGCTTGTAAACACGCCCCGTTTCATCGAGTAGCAGATGGTAAAAAAGCCAATGAAGTTTATAAGCTGCTAGCAAACTCGCTGGCTTCATCATCATCATGTCAGCCGTATGACGCCCACTGCTGAGCATAGGCCTCCCCCAAGGATCTCCACATCGATCGGTCCTGCGCCACTCGCATCCATCGGCTTCCCGGACCTTCACAAGATCGTCGGTCCACCTTGTGGGGGGCCTGCCCACAGAGCGTCGTCCGGTGCGTGGTCGCCATTCCAGAACCTTTCCGCCCCAACGCCCATCGGTTCTTCTTGCTACGTGTCCCGCCCACTGCCACTTCAGCAGAGCCATCGTTTGAGCGTTTTGATACAATGCCACCTTGAAGTTGTAAAGGACTGCCTTACTCCTAAAGAAATAATAGAAAAGTTAAAAACAACCTTTCAAAGAACGGGAATAGCATCGCAAGTTATGCTAAGGAAAAAGTTGCTCACGATGAAGTACAATAATAGTGAACCCTTAGAGCAGTTTCTTATTACATTCGATAAAAGTGTGCGAGAACTGAAAACATCAGACGCTAAACCCAGCGAAAGCGAGATTAATATGTTATTTGTTATTATCTATGCCTTCCTCATATAATAATGTTGTAACAGCTTTGGAAGCTATGTCCTCGGACATGCTAACATTAGAGTTTGTCAAGAGTAGATTGCTCGACGAACAAGAAGCCGATGAAGTTTATAAGCTGCTAGCAAACTCGCTGGCTTCATCATCATCATCATCATGTCAGCCGTATGACGCCCACTGCTGAGCATAGGCCTCCCCCAAGGATCTCCACACCGCCAGCCATTGTTTGAGCGATATCGGTAACTTTGGTTCTCCTACGGATTTCCTCATTTCTGATTCTATCGCGTAGGGAAACACCAAGCATCGCTCTCTCCATTGCTCGCTGCGTGACCTTGAGCCTTCTTATGAGACCCGCAGTAAAGGACCACGTCTCGCTTCCGTAGGTCATCACTGGCAACACACACTGGTCAAAGACTTTTGTCTTGAGACACTGAGGTAATTTGGACGCGAATATTTTTCGTAGCTTCACGAACGCTGCCCATCCGAGCTGGATACGACGAGAGACTCGCTGGCTTGTAGCTTGTAAACTCGCCCCGTGTCATCGACGCTAAAAAGCCTGTCCAGATAAAGAGGCTTCGAGGCATCGAAGCTTTCGGTGTAAAAATTACAGACAGACAGTACGCTTTAATAATGATTAGTATTATTGATGTGTAACATCTTTCCTCTCGTTTTCCTGCAATTTGTGAGAGGGATTTCGTGAAATGGGACGGAAGTGTGTAACAGGAAGTTTGAGAAACGCGCGCTATTTGTTTTGATTTTAGAACATAATGTTCGAATGGCTCATTCCTTTTGTAGTAGGTTTTATTTCTATTTTAAACAAATAAAGGTGAGGTTTCAAATGTTACACATCATACGCGACTACTGTAAGGCTCGCTCGTTTTTTTAATTTTATAATTATTATTATTAGATCTGATGGACGGTGAGACGATGGCAGCTTTAGATTTAGGCGGGGGCTCCACGCAGATCACTTACCAGTTGGGGGACGGTGATTCCAAACTGTTCCCCGTCAGCGATCAATACGTGGTGCCCGCGGGAGGGAATAATATCACACTTTATACACACAGGTAAATGATCAAAATATAATAATAATTTTTATTCATGCCAAAAAACATAAGGTACAATTTTTTTATAGCTGTTAAATTTATGAGACAAAGTACTGGAATTTATTTTTAATATTATTATTTTTACGTAAGGCAGTAGTCATATAATGAAAAAGTACAACTGACCGAACTGATAAGCTAAAAATATAGCCTGTGTTTAGGGATTCACACCCTTCCAATAGGTTCCTTAAGATGACACAGTAATAAGTTGTTACAGGATAGGGAAAACAGATCAGGTAACAGCATTTTTGTTCATGACATAGATATTAATATAAATTTACTACATAAAATGGATAGATAGGATCAACGATATTAAATACCCTAGATACACCAACACGAACAAAATCGTGGCCGAAACCTCTCCAAAAGGTACATTGAACTATCCACGGAGCTTCGTAAGATGATCGGGTAGTCAAAATCAATATAAGGCATTATTTAAATATTGAAAGTAACCTTTAATACATACTGTATAAGGTCTTAAATAAAACGCATGCGTCAAGGACTTCTGACAGTTCGAAATGCAAGCGCGTAAAATTTTACGACTTATTGCTATATGCGGAAGAATTTAGACCTTAGTTCTTTGACTCTACGCACAATTCTGAACGCGCTGTTAGCAATATAACAGGCACGGACCGCGAGGAAAAGATACCGCTATAAAGCGACGTATAACTGACCATGCATTTGAATATCACAAATATTTTATATTAAATCAGTTTATAGTAAGTATTAGATCAAAATTTACTTCAAATGCGTTAAATTAACAAACATTGACTAGATACCTGTCGAAAAAACGTCACTTTTCGTACTCTAAGTATTATTTTCGCATTTTTTCGCGGAGCTCTGTGGCATCTTGACTTTGTAATGGTCCACGCTTGACTGTGAACCCAGAAGTGCTTGAGTGGAGTTCAAGCACTTCTTGATTGGGACACATTTTGAGCGCTTGTGGTGTGTCTAGGGTATTAAATATTGTTAGATAGGATACATAGAATGGATGGATATAATTTGTCTATACTCTTGTCGAAATATTTGGATTACAAATTTAAAGATGGTTTGATAAAGGCGTACTTTACAAACGCACATGCATAAAATAAAAAATTAAACTCTTTACAGTACAGTACCCTTAGCACGAACCAATATCGAAATCGAATAGTTTGCGAGTGCGCAATTTCAATGTCAAATTTTGTATGGAAACTTGAACAGCAGCGTCACAACGGACGTAACGAGGACTAAAAATCAGTACACATTTGACAATGACATTTCGTATTCTATCCGTCGCCCTAGCATCCTATAACACAAGCCTACAGTGCTTACTTTAGGGCTAGGCTAATTGGTGCGAGTGTTTGAAATATTTATTTATATAAGATTATAATAGTAATAGCTTCGGAAGGCACGTTAAGCCGTTGGTCCCGGCTGCATCTGCAATCGTTAGCACCCGCAAATCCGCACTGGGCCCGCGTGGTGGGTTATGGCCCAATCTCCCTATTCCATTCATAGGGATTGCCTGTGCCCCAGCAGTGGGGACAATAATCATATTCTAATAATCACATCTTGTTCCAGCTACCTCAATTTAGGTTTGTTAGCGGCCCGCTACGGCGTATTCAGTATGGAGGCCAACAATAATACCACTACGGAATTCACTTCGGTCTGCGTCGACCCCATAGTGCAGAAGGAACCGTGGACTTATGGCAACAAGCAGTACGTTATCAGGTAAGCGAGGTAGCTGTGGTAGTTCGTATATTGGCTAAACGAAGCGTGCCGAATGAAAGAACACATAAAAGCAGTCAGAAATAATGATACGCAAAAATCAGCCATCGCGGAACATTTTATGATTCGGGTCCTAATAAACTGGATTGAGCTCCATAATCCCCAAATCATCTCGACAGAACGCCACTACATATCAAGATTGGTCAGGGTAGCGATTGAAATAACCAAACATAAAAATTTCAATCGTGAGGATGGGTTTAAATTGTTAAGTGTCTGGAATCCAGTGGTAAGTATGTGCAAAAACCGCTAAAATCAAAAAAGTGTCGTGCCGCGATCTGATACTGTGGGTATTGTGTGTCGGGAACAGGTGCAAGTGAATAGTGAGAATGTGACCGATGGTAGGGGTATTGAGCGCAGTAAAAGACAACGTCAGAGGGTAGACCGATATGTCTGTCAATAACATCTACCCGCAATTACTTCAGTTACTCCGTGATCAGTGCCGAAATATCGGAGACTCATAAAACAATCCCGTTAATAATCAAAAAAACTTAACATCAACATTCGCCTAACTGGCTATAAAAAAACTGCCTTTATAAATTAATCAGATATTATATAAAAAGTAATCGCTTACATTATCACTTAAAACAATGTAAACACTGACGAACACTGACTGAAACAGGACACGAAAAAAGCAAATTTAAAAACGCAGTGTAATTTTTACACTTTGGAAATTCTGGCCCTGGATTTCGATTAAACAAAAACTATTATTATTTGCACGAGTGCGTACGTCGAATTCAATGACTTTTAATGTGTGGGTGTGATTCGTTATGAATATTTAAGATTTTAATTAATGGATTATGTAATCGTTATCACACGTGTGGATATAAAGGATTACCGTCCATAGTTGTACGTCTGGAAAGGAATACATCCATCTTTGTTTATCGCATGATAGTTCCTACAAAATATAGAAGTTGGTAATGCGACTACAGGCTTTATTGCCATAACTTTTTAGCTTGGCTTTATTTGCCAAACACACAAAAACACACACACTTACTTAAAATATCAAATAGTCTTATACTGTTGTCGATTCTGGCATGAATCTCTTAACTTAAACTTAAATTTGGCAATAGTTTATCCATGTCATTCTCTATGCAGGATGAAAAGTTTAGCTTAAAGTTTAGAGAATCATGCCAGAATCGATACCACTGTAAGGTTAAATTGCCCAAATTAATGATTTACTTAATTATTGTGTTAAAATCTATATGATATGAATTTGGAAAGAGGCTGGTACCTATAGCACAGAGTATTAATTTCTGAGTAACAGCAGCTGTAATACTAAGTCTAACTGTGTCATACCTAAGTGATACTATACTATATAGTAAGCAATGAAGGTAATCATTATTTTTTGTGAAAATATACAAAGCTTTGGCATACATTACTTTGAGGTGCTACACTCATGCGCATAAGTATGAACGAGTGACTCGTGCACATAGGTTGACTTTTAAATAGTATGTCTGTCGTGGCCATATCGTAGATTTGATCACTTCATGAAATGCTCGAGAATTTCATGAAATGGTCACATTTCATGATGTGGCCAACTTAATTTGACCAGATCATTAAATCGTCAACATTTAACGATTTGGTCATCCACATTTGGCCGGATCGTATAATTAGGGTGTCCATAAAATATTTATTAAAGATCCAGAATATGTAAGAACTTGTTTATTGTTATTTAAGTCCGAATGACACAAACAAATTTAATCAAATTTTTGTAACAAAATAAACAAATTAAAGATTTTTTTTCCTACATTAAACATCAAACATGTCAAAAACTTACACATTTATATTTAGAAAACTATCAAATATTTAGAAATAATAAGGTACTTTGGTACATATTAAAATAGTAGACTTAACTGTTCTTCCAGGGCCCAAACGGTAATACTTCACAGTAGGTTAGGTTAGGTTAGTGTTGTGACCATGACGCGCGAGCCGAGCGTGCCGCGGCAGCGGCCGGCGAAGCGCCAGAAAAAAAACTCTTAAATAGACCTTTTCTACAAAAGAAATTCAAGTATCACCTCTTAGGCCCTGGAAGTACAGTTTTACAGTATATCTTTGTACGGCATTGATTCTTATCCGCACTTTGTACCACAACTGCAGTTTCCAAAATGTCATATTTTGACAGCCAGTAATAGTCCATAGATTTCTTTTGCGTAGTCACCCTACTCTCCTTAATTTGTTTCGTCGAAAACCCTTTTGTTAACTTTCTTCGTCATTAAATAACGAATTATGCACTTTTTCACTGCGAGAAACAACATTGTCAGCAGCGGCCACCATATAAACATATAAACAAAGCGCTTGCAGCGCCTCTACCGGTAATTAATGTAACTACTTTACAATATGATCAAATAATTTTTGCCATTTCATGAAGTAGCCACGCGTTTAGTTGGGCATAATTATAGTGAAACGATTTCTCATCATTGATCTGCCCAAACCACATCATGATGTGGCCAATAGATAGTGAAACATTTCATGAAAAGCGACCATTTCATGAAATTCTCGAGCATTTCATGAAGTGATCAAATCTACGATATGGCCACGACATGTCCATGGTCATGCCACTTTTTTATTCAGAGTAAAATTTACACGTAACATGGTATGAATTCCATTTTGAGGCTTCACCATCCATCTTTTCTTTTACTACCTTTATCGCCAGAAAATCAGCAAGTTCAATTTATTTCCGCCGAAATGGCGTATTAATACCTCAATATGGCATTACTAGTCATTGACTGCGCAAAGTGACAGATGATAGACATAGGTGACGTCATAAAAAGTAGGTTTGTTTACGAGCGCAAAAAAATTACCGTTTTAATACTTTTTTTTGCAATAAATGACAGTTTGAATTTTTTTCATCTTCATGGAATTCTTTAAAATGTAAGCAAGAATAAAAAAAATGCTTATTACTTATGAAACAATGTATGAGTATAATGTTATTTATAGCAGGCACATTTACGTTTTCGTTTTGCGTTAGTGACATTTTAATTAGCGGGATTGCTACCATATATCATGTATTTTACGAGTCCCCGATATTTCGCCACTGTTGATAGTGCCATAATCGCGATGAAACTCTGTGTAAAACAGTGAATAGAATATTTGAAAGTATGAAAAATAATGTACTAATTTTTGGCATCTGCATGAATAATAGCAGCAATTTTACTATTCTGAAAGAAAAAATAACTAAATTACTTTAATTAATAACTTTTCTATAATATCATTAAATATTTTTATGCCACATGGTCACGTGACCGAAAACGCCTGGGATTGATCATGACTAAAATGACGTCACACGCTAGTAAACTTCCGACCAAAGTGTCGTTACATTGTTTCGTTTGACGTTTCAATGACAGTCGTGTGACGTCACACACTAGTGAGACGCCTTAATGTCCAGCGAAACATTTTCGCGGCAACTTGAAAATTGTTTGTTTTTTTACTGAATTACATAACATAAAAGTATTCAATTTTTATGGACTCCATAAACATTAATAAATAACGTGAGATCGTTTCTAAAACTTGCAAAATACCCTAATTCTTATTATTTGTTCCAGTGGTGCCCGTCGTCAAGGCCTCAAACGGGAAGCCGTTTACAACCTATGCCACAACGCCGTGGTAAAGTATTTGAAGCGTACTATGGACTGGGAGCCGGCGCGAGCACCGCGAGGAAGCGTCGCCGCCATGAGCTACTTCTACGACGTGGCCGCGGATGCAGGCATTATAGGTCAGAAATAAAATATACCAACATTTCAAATATGAGGAGCTGGCGAATAAAACGTTATAATTACACATCTGGTCAAACTACTGTTTTTTTACAGTCCGGAGGTTTCGGGCCCGTTGAATTTGAATCCCAAATAATTTTCAATCAAAACCGCCTAAAAAAACAGTGTTAAAATTACTATGAATAAAAAACCATGCCAAAAGCTCTCTGTAGGTATGTACGTCATTTAGTTTTATACAGCTCCTGTAAAATTTAATTTTATGTAATTATACCGTTTTGTTCGCCAGCTCCTCATATTATGTTTTATCATAGGTCAGAAAAGAATATCTGAAATAAACCGACATTTTAGAAGAAAAGAAAACATTTGATGTGTCATGTTTCATTTATGAATTCGTTGAGCTACTTCAGGTCACTTTAGGTCAGAAATATAATATACGGACATTTCAAATATTATGTTTTATTATAGATAGGTCAGAAACGAATATCTGAAGTACACAGTTAGGAAGTAGATTATTTTACTTATAAAACTACAAGCAATAGACCCAAAAAGAAGTTATACTTTTTCAAAGTTGTGTCATTGTTGAACATAAAAAATAACGAAAAAAAATCTTACTCGGAAACTACGAAAAATCCTAGAACATACATGGGGGTTAAATTGAGAGGTATGGTACTCCGCTACCAGCTCGCACTGGCTTGGACACCTTAAAAGAAACACCATATATTATATAAACGCAAATTCAAGATTCTAGCAATGTAATAATTTTTATTCATATTCAATCTTCGTACAACACCATAAAGGCTGTTCTACCTTGTCAACAGATGTTATGAAAGGTGGCACGGTCTCATTATCGCAGTACCGTGCGGGCTTGTTCCGCCTCCAACGTGGAGCAATAATTAGTATCTAAATAAAACGCAATTTCAATATTTTAACTCGCATTGTAATAATTTTTATTCATAATCAATCTTCGTACAACACCATAAAGTCTGTTCTCGCTTGTCAACAGATGTTATGAAAGGTGGCACGGTCTCATTATCGCAGTACCATACGGGCTTGTTCCGCCTCCAACGTGGAGCAGTAATTAGTATCTAATTAAAAACGCAATTTCAAATTTTAGCTCGCAATGTAATTATTTTTATTCATATTCAATCTTCATACAAAACCATAAAGTCTGTTCTCGCTTGTCAACAGATGTTATGAAAGGTGGCACGGTCTCATTATCGCAGTACCGTACGGGCTTGTTCCGCCTCCAACGTGGAGCAATAATTAGTATCTAAATAAAACGCAATTTCAATATTTTAACTCGCATTGTAATAATTTTTATTCATAATCAATCTTCGTACAACACCATAAAGTCTGTTCTCGCTTGTCAACAGATGTTATGAAAGGTGGCACGGTCTCATTATCGCAGTACCATACGGGCTTGTTCCGCCTCCAACGTGGAGCAGTAATTAGTATCTAATTAAAAACGCAATTTCAAATTTTAGCTCGCAATGTAATTATTTTTATTCATATTCAATCTTCGTACAAAACCATAAAGTCTGTTCTCGCTTGTCAACAGATGTTATGAAAGGTGGCACGGTCTCATTATCGCAGTACCGTACGGGCTTGTTCCGCCTCCAACGTGGAGCAGTAATTAGTATCTAAATAAAAACAAAATTTCAAAATTTTAGCTCGCAATGTAATAATTTTTATTCATATTCAATCTTCGTACAACACCATAAAGTCTGTTCTACCTTGTCAACAGATGTTATGAAAGGTGGCACGGTCTCATTATCGCAGTACCGTACGGGCTTGCTCCGCCTCCAACGTGGAGCAGTAATTAGTATCTAAATAAAAACAAAATTTCAAAATTTTAGCTCGCAATGTAATAATTTTTATTCATATTCAATCTTCGTACAACACCATAAAGTCTGTTCTACCTTGTCAACAGATGTTATGAAAGGTGGCACGGTCTCATTATCGCAGTACCGTACGGGCTTGCTCCGCCTCCAACGTGGAGCAGTAATTAGTATCTAAATAAAAACAAAATTTCAAAATTTTAGCTCGCAATGTAATAATTTTTATTCATATTCAATCTTCGTACAACACCATAAAGTCTGTTCTACCTTGTCAACAGATGTTATGAAAGGTGGCACGGTCTCATTATCACAGTACCGTACATCTGCCGTACGGGCTTGCTCCGCCTCCAACGTGGAGCAGCCGTGGGCGTGCATAGATCTAGTGTACGTGCTCACTTTACTACAGGACGGGTACAAGATGAAGGACAACGACCCGGTCTCGGTGAGTTATGTCAATGTTATGTGCCCCTTCACGAAAACGGCTAACTAAAGCCGAGGTCCGAGTCTCAGAGACGCCCTCTAGTTGAGCCGAACCCCTCAGGTTTGAGTGGTCTACCAGGATCCCACGAAACCCGTTCCGGCAGGCGAGGAAGCACTTTTGGGTTTTTAGTGGGTAGGCCCCCCCCTCGTCCCGAACAGCCGCTGAGCCAGTTTGGTTGAGCGGATGGGCGGGATTTAGGCGCCTCTCACCCAGTAGTGGGGAATGCGTAAAGCATTTTCCCAACAATAAAAAAAAAGTTCGAGTGGTCTAGAAGCTCCAGACGGAGAGGAGACTCTCCCCGTGGGAAGATGCCATCCGCCTGGAATACTTCTTGAGGCACTCGCTAATTCTCGGCTTGAGGTCCCTTTAGGATCTCACCGTCTCCAAACCCGGTGACGCTGTAAAGGTCATCTGCGACCAACAGCGTATAACGATATTAAATACCCTAGATACACCACGAGCGCTCAAACAGTCACGCGCGGACCGTTACAAAGTCAGGATGCCACAGAGCTCCGCGAAAAAATGCGAAAATAATACTTTTACCTTTTGGACAGGTTTCGGGAACGATTTTGTTCGTGTTGGTGAATCTAGGGTATTTAATATCGTTGCATACACACTCAAAAAAGAAAATGTTTTGGACAGGTTTCGGCCACGATTTTGTTCGTGTTGTATCTAGGGTATGAAATATCGTCGGTTCTGACTAAAAAAGTAGCTGATAATATTACTAAAAATCAATTGTTTTTTATCTATTATCACGTGACCGAAAACGTCTACGATAGGCGGAGCTTAAAATGATTTAACTTCCATCGTAGCGCCGTTTAGCTTCTCAAGTAAGTAATTTTAACGCCTTTTTTTTTGTTGCAGTTGTTCAAGAAGGTGAATGGACATGAGGTATCGTGGGCGTTAGGTCTTGCCTACACTACAGTCATGAACCGAATCGCCGTTATGGTTGAAGTTTAAAACAATCCTCCAAGTAGGGAAAGGTAGGTTGGCCATAATTTAAAATTGTCGTCACCAGCCTATTAATGTCCTCACTGTTGGGGCATAAGCCTTCCCTACGGATGAAATAGTGAGAAATTGAAATATTGAATTCAAATTTGAATTATTGAATACAAAAAATTTTGCACTCGATTTTGTATACACTCCGTTTTTGTAAAATTTTGTAAACAATTCGTACACGCAATCTTTTTTTTCAAAATTAGGTTTTCAATAGTGTTTATTTATTTTTGGTAAGAAATCACTTTCTAACAAATCTAAACATGGAAGTGATGTATTGCATTATTTGTTAGAAATGTGTTTTCATAAATGAGACTAGGAAGAAAAAAAAATGGATAATTCAGACCTCGAATTTTCTACAATATACATGGAACGCGTAGCTTTTTTTTACTTGTAGGGCTAAAAAGACAACATTTTCCGATTATTTATTATTTTGAGTGGCAATTATAAGCACCCAGTGCTACATTACGAATCAAGGAAACTATGAACTCTTATTTGGCGATGAAACTGGATTTCATCTCGAAAAAAATAATCAAATAGGGTTTTTTTCGTCTATCAGGTGAATTATCAAAATGTACATATTGGACACGCATCGTTTTTCTCATAATCAAAACATTACAGTACCCATAGCACGAACCGATACCGAATTCGAATAGTTTGCGAGTGTCAAATATCAATGTCAAATTTTGTATGGATACTTCAACAACAGCGCCCCAACGGACGTAACGAGAACTAAAAATCAGTGCACATTTGACGTACATATATCAAAATCGAATTCAACTATTCCAATTCGATATTGGTACACATATAAAGATTTGAAATGTCGCATGGCGTTACGTCTTGGTATAATTTTTACTTAGAAGTGACGTCGTCGTCACAAGCTTCCAAATGTGACGCGCTTTATCTTTGTCTTATTTTGATTGATCGACAAAACAGAAAAATAACTACACACACAAACACTACAAAGTCAGTTCAAGTTAAAGTTTACTATAATATTAACCGCCCTCGCTTGGACAGTTATTGAAACTGTCAAATTATGACCTCATTTTGACTATCGGGCTAAAAGTCGCGGCACGAAACTCTAGCGCTGACCGTTATTGCGCAGAAGTAAATATTAAGATGTGTTGGGGGGAAACGAGGTGCGCGGGTGGGCGTGCGTTGCGCCGATTGGCTCTCCAGTCGTACCCATACGCAGCTATCCCCTCCGCGTTTTGTTCAGCGCAAAGTGCCATATATCAGACAATTCCAGTATATCAAATTCAAATATATCACATGATGGTCAGTTTTCGCTCGCTAGATTGCCAAGAATACAATTGCCTACCTTCTCCGGGGAGACATGAAGATTGGCCTACATATCAAGATTTATTAGTTATGTACCGAGATCTGTACCACAATACCACAAGAGCAGTACTCCGACTTCATACTAGCGCCCGAATCGACGCACGCACATAGACAAACGTCATTTACACGGCCGCTAACCAATGTTGATAAGTCAAATCTACGCAGTGCCACGTCGCGCGCCGCCGAGACTGGTCGTTGGCCGAGTTAAGTTAGCTGCGCCGCGCCGCCCGTGCCGCCTGCGTCCGTTTCGATTGCGTAACGTGGCAATAGTAACTATACACATACAATAAAAATCTACACAAATATGTTTTACATTTTGTAGGTACCAATCCTAGCGCTCCGCTCAGTCGTAGGTATCTATTTCAAGAAAACGGCTGAGTTACGCTACTGCTCTTGTATGTATTGTGCCTGTACCACACCGTACAAAGAAGAGTACCGATTTAACAGTGTCTTTCTAAAACCCAGACATTGGCAGAATCATCGTGCATAACGATGGAGCCATAATATCCAAAGTGGAAGTCACCATCGTCAAATGGCGCATTCCCATTTTTTACCTAACTGGTACTTTAACGTGAGTTGGTGCAATTCACGTTGAGTCCATATTTTTTTTTATAATCTGACTGATTAAATAAAATTCTTGAGGTCTTTTACTTTACTCCGCTGTCATCCATATTGTATCCAGTTGTATTGCAATGTCTTCTTTTTAGCCTTACCGGTCCCATATTTAAGATATTTTGTTATTAATTAGACTTTGTTATTGATATATGAAAATATATTATGTGGGATTAACATTTGCAAAGTATTTTTATAAATGCACACTAAAACTAGGTATTGATAAGTCCGACATAATGAGTTTTTATTATTTAATTCTGAATACACAATAGTTTTTATCATATGACAAGATAAACTAAAAAAAATATGTATCGATAAAGCGGACGCATATTTTTGGATAAAAAAAACGAACATTTTTGACAGTGAGTTGTAAGTTATACCAAGTTCTATTTAGTTGTATACTGTAAACATGATATACAGCACCTCTCGTTCTAGCACTATGAATAGACAAAGAAAGAACTATCGATATATTTCAAAGAAAATAAAATCGAATAGTAAGATATAACAGCGCGAAGATGACTCTGGACACCGTTCTAAATCTGTCTTTATTTTCACGAGAGAAAGGGATAAAATCAAATTTACGATTTTTTTGTTGTAAAACCAGTGCTGGGACATTAAAGAATATTACCTTTTGACATGAAAATTAATTTAAGACAAATTAATGTAATGTGGCGTACATTCCAGTTAATTTTTACTGGATCACAACATCACAAATGTGCAGATAGAATGAGTCTTATTTTTAACGACATAGAGTTCTTTTCTTTTTTACATGGACTGTCAGTTTCTGTATTCTCTTAATACCTCTATATTTAAGGCAATTATATCATTATATTGATTCCCTTTTTGGATATTGCACTTTAAATATTATATTGTATTGTGAAGTCGATATTCTTAAAATAACTATTTAAATTAATTTATTCAAATGGAGTTGAGCGGGTATCTGTGTATATCTATAATTATAATGATATTATTATAGGCATTTATTATTATATTCTTCCATCATATCTGTGTAAAAGAAATGAAACTATATTTTTCATTAATGACATAAGTATTTTAATTATTTTTCTACAGTATTTCTACATTTCTTCTTTTTCTTCGCAAACAATAATAATATGCTTGTCATAGCAAGTATATGCTTAGCTTATAAACTTATCAAATGGCACAATAAGTTACCACAAAAAGTCAAATGTTGCATACGATTGTGAATCTTATATCAAGCGACAGCAAGCTCAAAATTAGTTGGAAAGATTTCACAGTTTTTTGCACCTATTTATCTTTCTTGGGTAAGTCGAACCAAATGTTTATTCAGTGTCGCTTAACCTCTGTAGGATGGTCGTGTCTACGGGGTCAGATTTATTATATATACTTAATGATAATATCTTATGAAATAGAATGAAACAAGATATTAATGACTTTTAATAATCATATTTTTTATTCCGTTTATTAATGACGCTTGTAAACTTCGATCAACAATTCTTTATATAACGAGTCAACGCGTAAATCCGTCTCGATAAATATAACCTCACTTGAGGCGTGATATCTTATTTTAAAATAGGTCGGTTTATACAAAACGAAGTAACTCGCTGGCCAATGACTGTTAAAAACATTTTATTTTGTGGGTCATAAGGTTGATTTCATATTTTCCTTTTTTCACCTTTATCGACTTTTTCCAAGTATCAGATATCTTATATATAAAATTCTCACGTCACAATGTTGGTTACCATACTCCTCCGAAACTGCTTGACCGTTTTTAATGAAATTTTATATGCATATTCAGTAGGTCAAAAATTACATACATCCTTAAATTTTCATCCTTGTATCAGCAACCCATATTTTTATGGCGGTACGAAGTTCGCTGGGTCAGCTAGTAGTAGTTTATAAAAGGAAAAGAGTTCGTTTAATAAGATAAAAGGCCGTATGTGCGAAATGACATTTTGTTATTTGTAACTCTATTCCTTTGTGAGATAGTTGTTATTAGGTTCAACTTGAAACTGTTTTAAAACATTTATAATTGTTCATTGGGAATCGAATGTAGCTTCATTAATTTATATAGTAAACATACGCGGACATTTTTTAGCTTTGATTTTGTATGCAACCCGTTGTCTATAGGATTGTTGAACAAAGCTTGTAAATGATAAAAATGTGTATAGAGTATAAAATGTGTTGTAATGTTAGCACACTTATGTACCTATTTATGAATACATATGAGAAGCTGGCGAACAAAACGAAAAAAACAAAATAATTACATGAAATTAAATTTTACAGGAGCAGTCAAAAAACTGAATGACATACCTACAGTGAGCTTTTGGCATGATTTTTAATTTAGTAATTTTAACACTATTTTAGGCGGTTTTGATTGAAATGAGTTGAAATTCAAATTCAGTTGCCCCTAAAACTTCCGGGCTGTAAAAATGAAATATTAGATGGTCAAAACCGTATGCGTTATCCAGCGTTCACCAGCTCCTCATATCGTCACATCTACGGCAAACTTATGAATCTGCTTTTTTAGTAAAAATCTATAATAAAAACTGCATATGCACTTAAGTACACACTGCAGTTAAGTACCCCATACCACGGTAATATTATGTATTCTATCTTCATACAAACGGTCGGAAAGCTTGTCATACCTACGCCACTCGAGTTCGCGCGGCACCCGGTGGAAATCCAGTCGCGAATGCACCGCAGCGACGACCGAACGGTGTGAGTTTTTTAAGCAGTTAGCCATGCTTTAACGTTTGTATTTTGAATATTGAATTAAGTAGACACCTACATAATTTAATATGGCAAAGAGCAATAGTCGATATTGTGCTGTTTTTGGTTACTTGAACTCTTCAATATTTTTTTTATACGAATGCGTTTTATTATACTATTAAATTTAATAATAAAGCTTTTCGTACGTCTCAGTCGAGGCGTAAATATTTTTCTGTCTCAAATCCATATTTTTTTATTAAATATTACACTTAAAATAACATGTATTTTATGTAACACTTCCTAATTCATTCACAACATTTTTTTACTATATGAAATAAAATATATACAATTACAAAATTAGAGAGAAACTCAATTATGTAGATGAAATTAAAAAACTGTAGACGGGCAGCCCTACCGCGTGGATACGCCCCGCTCGGCCGTAGGCAGTTATTTCTAGGACAGGGCCTAGTCACAATACTGTATAGATAATATTACCGTGCCCATACTTAACACCAGGGAAAAGTCACACAATTTTATCAATGACGGTTCCAAAAGTCTGATTGTTTGCATCTGCATTTTATGTTTAATCACCCAAAGTAAACTTACCAAATTAATATACGATATTTTTGGCGTAGTAGGTTTTATGAAATTCAAATTCGTAAGTTTATTATGGAAGTGACGATGTTATAAAAAAGTATTAATGCACAATTCGATGTATAGTATAAACAGGGGGTCAGTCAATGATCTTACATTACTCATTGTAGTATTTCAATTTATTTTAAAATAATATTAAAGTTGTTTTCACGCATAAGTCTGTCTACATTTGATGATCTCATCCGATCCCATGGGTCCGTGGAGTACCTAGACCCTAACTTGGCATACATTAAAAAAAAAGGATTTATTTATTCGTAGTGCAAAGAGTCCTTTTAGGATTAATTTCAGTGCATCCTTTGTCATTCTCTATACATAATGAAGAGGAGAGACTGATGTTAAATTTAGTTTTAAGCTTAGAGAAACGTGCCAGAATCGGCACCATTGCCTTATGGGAGCAAAGAGTCCTTTTTTTTTAAATAGTAAAACCTTTTTTAGAGTAGATCTTTGAGATCGGATGTGATAAATCGGAAAGTGTAGATTGTATTTAAGTTGTAAAATACAGTGTTTTACGAGAAGAATACTAGTGATACTGGTGATATGAGTTGTGAATAATGTTATGCCGTTGTATCTTTATTTTACAAGAGTAATAAAGTGGTGGTTCTACAAAGCAAGTCATTTTATTTATTTAAATATTAGCTTACAGCGACTGGAAAAATAGAAGTACCTAAACGCTATCTTCCGATTTTTCCCACCCCAATTCTAACTAAGAGCAGAGCAAAGCCATAGGCGATAGGCGCGTTGTATGGAAGTTAGCGTGACCAATACCCTTAGCACGAATCAATATCGAATTCGAATAGTTTGCGAGTTCGAAATGTCAAATATGTACTGATTTTTAGCTCTCGTTGCGTGCTTTGTGGCGCTGCTATTCAAGTTTCCATACAATATTTGACAATGACATTTTGGACTCGCAAACTATTCTAATTCGATATTGGTTCGTGCTGGGGGTACAGAGGCCCAAAAACGAATTCTGAAAGCTCCGAAATCTAATATATAAAATTCTTGTGTCACGATATGCGCCATTGAACTACTCCGAAACGGCTCGACCGATTTTCGTGAAATTTTATGTGCGTATTCAGAAGGTCTGAGAATCGGACTACATTTATTTTTTATCCCCCTAAATGTTAAGGTACATCATACAAAAATACATACAACCCTAAATTTTCACCCTTCTACCACCAACCCTTAATTTTTATGGCGGTACGAAGTTCGCTGGGACATCTAGTTGTATATATATTTTGTCTAATCTAGTTGTATGGAAGGAGCCAGTTGGTTCTTAAGCCAGAAACATATAAACGTGTCGTGTCGTGTCGACGCTTTAAGCTCTCTATCTCTCTCTAACCCATAATAAATGTATGAAACCGATGCGCCACGTCACGCCACGACACGTTAATATGTTTCTGGCTTTACGTCCGATGCTGAGTTTTCATAAAAACTTTGATAATGTGACACGATTACGGAGCTGTAAATTCTAAAAATATCGTGTTTGGGCTTGTTACGAATAACTGTTGAAATCTCACAGCACTCAAAGATGACCTAAGAGCAAAAGGTCAAAGTCGGGTTCGACTGATCACTGAAATTATTCATAGCTCTGGAACTGGATAATGATGATAAGATATGTAAAAGAGCTGCCCAGGATCTAAAAAAAAAATGTTTTTCAGTATTTTATCATCACAATAACTATGTACCTATACAACAAGATGCAATAAAAAAATGAAAAAAAAACACATCTATCTACCATCATCATAATCATCAGCCTATTAATGTCCCCACACGGCACAGGCCTTCCCTTTGGATGGAATGGGAAGATTGGGCCGTGACTCACCACGCAGGTTGGTGAGTGCTAATGACTGAAGATGCAGCCGGGACCAACAGCTTAACGTGCCTTCCGGAGTACGGAGGAACTTGAGATAGAAGATTTTTGGTCAGCTATCCATTAACCGATCAGTGTAAAAGTTGCCAACTTCAACTATCGCAGCCGAACGCGCTAACCACTTGCGCCATCAAGCTCCTTTACCCGTACATACGTCAAAGCCAAAAAAATATTTATTCAATAGTTATGTTTTTATTGTTTAAGCATTTCACTGCTAGATGTTTATATCTAAAGAAAAGTTTTAATAGAAAAAAAATCCACGCGGACCAGGCAGCAGACGGTACTCGAACCCGCACCCTTCGCAATCCGGGCGCATGCACTGACCAATTATGCTACCGCGGCCCTGACGGTCGCGTCGAAATTTTCCTATCCTTAAGCTGCAAGGCAGCGTCATCTCTTCGCTTTTTTTTTCTATTATAACTTTTCTTTAGATATAAACATCTAGCAGTTAAATGCTTAAAAAATAAAAACATAACTATAAATGATATTTCTTCTTTCAAATGTTTAATACTTGAAAAAGTATTCATTTGACATTGTGGGTTACCTACCATTGTAGGTAGATAGAGATGGCGCTGCCTTGCAGCTTAAGGATAGGAAAATTTCGACGCGGCTGTCAGGGGCGCGGTAGCATAACTGGTCAGTGCATTCGCCCGGATTGCGAAGGGTGCGGGTTCGAGTTCCGTCTGCTGCCGTGTGGATTTTTTTCTATTAAAACTTTTCTTTAGATTAACTATTCAAATTGACAGCATTATACCAATATAGTATATTAATGTCTTTGCATAATACGGTTAGGCTTTCCCTTCTGCGGTAGAGCTATGAAGGGGTAAAAAATAATCATATTTATTAAAATAAATCAATATAGTTACCGTATTCAGTAGCGAACGCGATAGGAGGCATATTCCCATAGGACAATAGCGGACTTCATTGAGGCCTATATATCGAGAGAAATTGAACAGCTTCCTGGAGATGTTCGTGTCTGTGAACATGTTCGCCAACATACTCAGAATGACTCCTGTGCGTTTCGCCTAGAAAGAAAGTACCTAGTTAATGAAGTCAACACAATCTATAAGTACCTACTATTTATCTATATTTAGGTAGGTAATAAAGAATCTTGAAAGAGTATGTACCCGCATAAATTCCGAACGACAACAAAGCACCAATTAGATAACAATTTTTTATTGTGTCCGTTATTGTCAGGTCATGTTTGTGTAAAAGAAATGTCGTCACGCAGAAAAATTTATGCAAGCAATGAATTGTAGGTAATAAAAAGTTTTTTATTCCGCCATCTTCCGCAATTCCGCAAAAACACGTAGGTATTACAATTACAGAACGGACCTGTTAAACGCCACACCGCAGTTCGGGAGCTTGTCCAGAGGTGAGGCGATTACGTGTTAAGCATATTCTAGACCAGTGTTTCCTAACCTTTCCAATACTGCTACCCCTGTGACCTATTAGGAAAAGAGATTTTACCCAGAATTTAAAATGTTATCATCAGCCCAAGAAATTCCAATTTGGCCGCTACATCTTCGTCTTTACTAATGTCATCATCAGGAGAGAATCTCGCCCCGCTTCCCACATTCAGCACCCCGCGGGTTCACTAGCAAGAAGGACCGCATGCTCTATTCAGTACTATTATTTAGATTTGACCAAATAATTAGGTTCTTTGTTACCCCCGAAGTATGGCTGATTTACCCCCGGAGGGGTAATTACCCCCAGGTTCGGAACCCAGGTTCTAGACGGATGTAATCCAGCGTACCAACCAAGGTGACCTTGCCCGTGGCCATCCATCTAAACGAAGGATGTAATCCAAATTTTGATTTGACCTTCAATGTCCTTGGATTACAGCCGCGTATTTCCATCCGCGGTTGGAGCCAACAAGACAGTTGCGCTGTGGCAGTCGGCGGATGCGCACGTATGCGTGCACGTATTCTTAGGAAGTTATGAATATCATTAAAGTACAATAACTCCAATAAGTTTGAATGAATTAGAATGGCTGAGAATCATTCGCTGTTGTGACCAACGCTTCATTCACATTCTCTTTTTTGTTGTTTTTCGTCGTCTATTGCACACAAAACTGTTAGGGCAAAGCCCACATTTAGAAATTTAGACAAATTTTGAGCCATTTCTACAACACTGTACTATATACAGTCCGTGCATGATACAAGTGCATACGTGTTTTCACGCCAGAAGACTGCTCGCGATTGCGTGTTGGCGCGTGGATTACATCCGTGTAGCCGAAAATCATAACGCGGATGGAAACCAACTTCCCACCAAGGTCACCTTGGTTGGTACGCTGGATTACATCCGTCTAGAATAGGCTTTAATACAAATAATATTTAACGCCTCTTAATTTGATGCAGTGACGATCCCTTTCCGAGTTGAATCTCTGCTACGACCTTTACCCTGGTTGGCGCTCAAATCGCCCTACCGTCGTAAAATCGTCAAAGTTTCTATAAAAACTAAGCAGCACCCCTATCGGATGGAAGAACAAACTAGCTTTTTCCACACAAAATTTGGCGAAGACGATACGTTAAGGAGCCTCTCTTTACGTACAAGCTCATGCGAATGCGTCCGTAGTTTTTGAAAATTTGACGATCGACTCAAATAAGACATGAGCAGAATGAATTTGGCGCCTATGCTAATTTTAAAGCAAACTCATAATAATATAGGTACCCCTTATATATGTACCTCTGCTTGGGTTATGTGACAAGGTTCCAGTACCATCAAAATGCCCAGGAAGTACATAACCATCCAGTATGACAGTACCAGTGTTGAATCAGTCGCTTCAATATCTGCGAATGAAAAAAAAATGTATTAATTCTCAAACTGTACCTCTGCCATAATGTATTGAGTACTTTATCATAGCATGAACTCCTTTTTTATGTTAAAAGCGTATTGTCCACCTGATGGTAAACGGCCAGCATAGAATTGACGACCTCCGTGGGCGAGTGGTTTGTACACCGGGTTTCATGGTGTCGCCGACTCAAGAGGTCCCGGGTTCGAATCCCGGTAGAGGCAGATGTTTGTGTAATAAATAATAAATACGAGCATTTGTACTCCAGTCATGGATGTTAAATATGTATTTCTATATAAATATATAGAAATACGAATATATAGTACAGTATATGTATTCGATCCGTTACCCCTAGTATCCCATAATTCAAGCCCTACAGTGCTTACTTGGGGCTAGGCTAATTGGTGTGAGTATTGGAAATATATTTATTTATAGCTTATAGACGCTTGCAATACCAAACATATTACTCGCACCGTTGCCTACCCTGAGTCAGTTGAGCCCTGAAACCTTACTCACATCGAAACACAACACCACCAAAATAATAAATAAATATTTCCAACACTCACACCAATTAGCCTAGCCCCAAAGTAAGCACTATGAGGCTTGTGTTATGGGATACTAGGGTAACGGATAGAATACATATACTGTACATAATAAGTATATTTTTATAGAAATATATATTTAACATCCATGACTGGAGTACAAATGCTCGTATTCATCACACAAACATCTGCCCCCACCGGGATTCGAACCTGGGACCTCTCGAGTCGGCGACACCTTGAAATCCGGCGTACAAACCACTCGGTTACTTCCCCAGACGGGCGCTCCAATCGAGCGGGAAATCCGCTATGGCCTACCACGGTAATATTTACCGTGGCCCTACCTACCCTACCGGTTTTTTTTTTCGTCAGGAGAATGCGTTACGCATACCCCACCGCCTTGAGAGTGCGGCGAGGTTATGTGGGACTCCTTCGCTCCTCCTCTCGTCTACCCACCCGCTCAGCCAGCCCGAGGGTTGGCTCGGCGGCTGCCCGTTTTCTCATTTGTTTTTGTTTTGTTAAATTATGTTATAATGATGGTATCTCCCAAACCAAATTAAATATGTTACAATTTTATAATATCATAATGTTCGCGCCCCTATAAACCCCACATATACATACATACACACATCAAAAGTGTCTAGGGATCAACATATATTTTTGCAATAACTTTTCTCCTGATTGATATTAATTAAAATTTTCTTTAAGGATTCATCAAATAAAGTGTTTTCGTTTGTCACAGTAACGATAAACCAAGTCACCTTTGCATTAATAAAGAAATTTGCCATTTTCCTAATAAAGGGATTTTTGACATTTGAACCACTAACACAAAAGTTCGAAAAAAAGACTGAAATAACAGTTTTCTCTAAAATTTTATTGGGTAACTTAAACAATTAATAATCCGTATTTCTACCGCGAACACTAACAACACAAGAACATCGGTTTGGCATACTCAAAATGAGTTCATCCAAATCACGCTGTGGAATGGCCGCCCATGTTCGTTGCAACAACAAAAAAAGGTCTTCTTGCGACTGGATACCCTCCATATTCGGCAGAGCTCTTCTCTGTAGCATATCCCATGCATGCTCAATCGGGTTCAAGTCTGGCGACTGAGCAGGCCAGGGCAGGACATTGATGTTAGCTGCGGCGAGAGTCTGTCTTACAACTCTTGCGGTGTGCGGTCGTGCATTATCATGCATTAACTGAAATAAGGGACCGATTTGCACTTGTAGAGGAACGATGACGTCTGATACAATCGTCTCAGCATAAATTTGAGCGTTGAGGTTGCCTCTGATCCAAATCAACTCAGTTCTTCCGCCGATCCAAATACCCGCCCATACCATGATGGTTCCACCACTATAAGGATGGACTTCCTGGCAGGATTTTAATCGCTGTTGGCGTCCAGGGGTTCTCCAGTGTCGTATACGTCTTGTATCCGGTCTCATACCAAAACGAGACTCATCAGAAAAGCACACGAAACGCCATTGTTCTTCTGCCCAATTTCTGTGTTCAAGAGCCCATTGATATCGAATCCTACGATTGTGCATTGCTATAGGTGGTACCCGTAGCGGTCTTCGGGAATGAAGGTTCACTTCATGCAAGCGGTTTCTGACTGTTTGGTCGCTAATTAAGTTCCCTGAAGAGTGATGAAGCCTCACGGCTAACATCATGGCGGTTATTGTTGGAGCTCTTCGAGTTAAGATTTGAATGTATCGGTCTTGTCTCCGTGTGGTGCAGCGATACCGTCCTCCATGGCGCTCAGCCACGGTACCAGTGCTTCGGTATCGTGTCCAAAGTCGACTGATAACACTCTGACTTGTATTCAGAGCTAAAGCCACAGTACGTTGCCGGGAACCAGCTTCTATCATTCCCACGGCTCTGAGCATTTCTTCCCTGCTTAAATGACGTCGCCGCTCCATAATAACGTTGGTTTTAATCAGTAGTAGGGAAACAGTAGCACTAATAATGTCTTCAATGCGTTGTATGTTTTTATAGGGAAAATATTGACAGCTGATTTTCATCTTTTACTCGAATTTGATTCACAGTTCCTGATTCAAATTATGAAATGCACCAAAAAGGATCCATATAAATTTATAAAATCATAAATTTATTACAAAGCCACATCTCAATCTCAAGAAATCCGCATAAAAATGCTTGATCCCTAGACACTTTTGATGTGTGTATAAAAGAAAAGGAATATTACAAATCATAGCGAAAACTTGCATTTATATAACGGATGGCGCCATCTATTGAATGGGACACCGGAGCGCTCTTAGCCCAAGCGTCATTGGTTGTCGCCGGCAGATAGCAGATGTCGCCCGCGTTCGTGTGTTCGGCTGGTTTTACCGACCATAATGTCATGACTTGTTAAAAATTGTTAAATTCATTCTGTCAAGAAAACTGTTACTGCTAAATTGATTTTATTATAACATAAAGCGAAATTACTAAAAACACCGAGTTTTTATTGAAGAAGACTCCACTTCTATGCCCAAACATAAAAAATTTTTGGCGACCGTGACAGGACTCGAATTATAATCTTCAAATAAGAAAATATTTTTTTTTTTTCTTTTGACCGGCGTCCATGAAGAAGGAAACCTAAAACCTTAAGGATTACACTACGAAAAAGGACAAAGGAAGCAAAGCAAAACAGGAAACTTAATAAGTCGTCGTGTGGCTTGCGAGGTCCAACGAATCATCGAAAGAATCGTGCTGAGCAAACTACAAATACTTCGAGTTCAAAGTTAAGTGCCATCCTTTGTTCCTAAAATCCACAAAATCCATTCCTATCAATTCATTACCATAAATATTAATAAATTTATAAATTGTTTCTACTGATTTACATAATTTTAGTGCATTTTTCGGCAAATAATCAACTACAAAACCGTAAGTACCTACCTACCTACATAATTTTTATAAAAAAATCTGCTTAAATCAAGGTTTAATTGTATAATTCATTGTATTTCCCTCTACTCAATAATAATAACTTTCCTAAATTCAATTAATTTCATACTAATAACTTCCAAATTGATTTGAAAAGGATTTTTTTTTTGTGACACTATTTATTACCCACAATTAGCTCAATCCATTTTCACCAAAGAGAGGTAGGGCATAGCGGATTCGCCGCTCGAATTGGAGCGCCCGTCTGGGGAAGTAACCTCCACCTTACAGAATACCGCAGTGAAATAACATTACCTTTTGGTGGTGTTGTGTTTCTGTCGGTGAGTAAGGTTCCAGGGCTCCACGGGGTAGGATTTCTAGGGGTGTAATTTTATGTGTGTTGGGATTTAATATAAAATAAAAGAATTCTTCAAAACAGTGTAGGTTTATTAATTGGTTTTATTATATAACAAAAAAGGAAAAAGTTTAAATTATTTAAAAATCAATATCAGTTGTTAGTTAACAAATAGAGCATTTTAGTGTCACAAAAGTGTTATTTGGCTGTTTTCTCATCCGATTTAACGGGCATTTTCCAGGCAAATCATTTGTGGTGCGGAAAGGTGACAGAGCGTTTGGAGTTCGATCGCTTGCGTTACCGGAGGACACCCACCGAGACATTCCGGCAAATTGGGAGCGTCAGATAAGCCTGTTCAATTATTCCTATTTTTTTTTTTTGCAAACAAGTTCAATATTTCCTCTTTTGCCGTCGAATTTTGTTGATTGAATAAGCATTTTCGTAATTTTCCAATTAATTTGGTGTCAAAATGGCTACTGCATTATCACCTAATCCAGCTGTTTCTAATTTAATTGCTACAACAACAAATTTAAAATCTCTTTATACAAAACGCAGTTCTATAAAGGGACAAATAACTAAGTTTAAAAATTATATAGAAAAGATAAGTGAGAACATAGAGGAAAAAACTGATTTAGAAATTGCAGAATTAAATTTAAAATTAAATAAATTTGAAAGCTTGTCAGCCAGATTCGACGATTTGCAGACTGAGATAGAAGATATAAATTCAGATAATTTATCATGTGAGGTTGATGAAAGGGAGCTCATTGAGGATTTGTTTATTCAATGCATTGCAAAGGCTAAAGCTATAATAAAACAAAATGATGGCTCGATAAACAAGTCTATCCATGAGTGCCCTGACATAGAATTGGGTATAAGGTTGCCACAAATTCAAATTTCAAAATTTGACGGATCCTACTTCCGCTGGCTTGAGTTCCGTGACACTTTTACGAATTTAATTCACAAAAAAACCAACATAACAGATATACATAAATTTCATTACTTAATATCGTATCTTGAAGGGGATGCAGCGCGTATCATTACCAATTTGGAAGTATCTTCTACTAATTACAAGGAAGCCTGGCAGCTTCTTTGTGATCGTTACGACAATAAGAGGCTTCTCATTAATCATCATTTAGATTCATTATTTAAAATTCATCCCATAAATCGAGAATCGGAAAGATCATTGCGTTTCCTTGTTGATCATGTCACTAAAAATCTTCGGGCACT